CAAAAAAAAAAGAAAACTTATTCCCCCAACGAAACAACGACAATAACCAAAGAATTGTTGTCGTATATCAAAGTTGTATCAAAACTGCTTTTTTTTCGTGAGAGGAGACACGCACGCACGCACGTACGCACGTACGTACCCCCAAAGCATGCACGCACGCATGCACGCACGCACGCACGCACCTACAAACACACACATGCATAATTTTATAACAATATATAAATATGCGCACACAAATACACCTACACATATAGACAGTGAAACAGGGAGAGAGAGAGAGAGAGAGAGAGAGAGAGAGAGAGAGAGAGAGAGAGAGAGAGAGAGAGAGAGAGAGAGAGAGAGAGTTCTGCTGATTTCTTTTTCCTCTCGAATAACATCCCAAAGAATAGCTACTTGTATTTACTCGTATTGTATCCACTTTGGACTTTGGAGAGCAACAATCACCTCGGTCAGCAAGTCATAAGAGGATTAACGAATAAGAAATGTTGAAGTTATGAAAAAATCTCGCAAGCTGCGCACTTTCACAAGTAGCAGTGAAGCACGTAAGTGCTTAAAATGTGGCAAAAATCTCTGTACCAAAATTTAGTCTCATTGGCCATAGCAGAGGCAACAAATCATCCTAATCCTTATTTATTATCTGTCTGTTTCGCTAAATAGATAATGGGTTATCATCAGACATTAACGAATGAATTATGTGTATTGCATGTAGGCTTATTAAAAATCATTATTTTTCACTTACACCATCAAAAGCATAGTATTCAGTATCGTCAAACGTCCTTGCCTATAGCGCCTTAATAACGTCAATGATAGTACATAACAAGATGGGCCACTTCTCTCTTTGAGCCAATTAAAAAAGTGTCCTCAAAATTTGGTGGCGCCCTCTTCACAAAAGCGCACTCTTTGCGAACAGAGTTACCCTACTTGAGTTTTTAAAAATCAAAGTGAAACTAGCATGTTTTGGGATAAATTTCGGAAGAACGCTTTTTTTAAAATGGTTACGCTGACAAAAAACCTTTTCCGGAGGAAAGGGTGATGGTTTTCTTCGTTTAATTTGACTTTAGAATGAAAGGCGAGAGGTCATTAAAATATAAAAAAAACCTAAAACTACGCACTGAACGTACCCGAACTGCTGATGAACAGCAGTCGATCTGCGCACGCAAGGAGGTGCTATTCCTATTCTTCTTCTGGAAAAACGAAAGAGAGCTTCAAAACAGACTGCAGCGCCATCTGAAGCAAAGAGCATACTTCCTGCGGACACTTTTTGGTTGAGTGAACCATCTTGTTATGTACTATCATTGATAACGTTAATACTTCACATAGGATGGTCGGCGTGTGTACTAGTATGGTTTGCTACTTCTTTCTTAACAGTCTATCCACCTTATCTCTCCTCCTTTTTTGTATTTGTTACTCTCTTGTAACACCTCTAATATTCGGCACTTATATGACATAAGTCCCGTAAAATACTTACTGAAACGAATTAAAAAAAACCCAACAATACTTGACAGACGTATTTTTCACACCGTCTCGAGAAGAGGCAAAGGTCAAGGACATCATGTCGTGTGACTTGTTAATGTGGCTCTAAGTACAAGAAGCGTCAGACTCAAAACTGAGTGTGATGCTCACGGCAGCATGACCCGGATATGGACACTTGAGGCATCCCTCCCTCCCCCCATCCCTCCCACTCCCCCCCCCCCCCCCATCTAAAAACATATCTAAAATAAAGAAGACGCACATCCCCTCCGACCCCCACTTACAAACAAACAAACAAACAAACAAACAAACAAACAAACAAACAAACAAACAAACAAACAAACAAACAAACACACTCATCAAAATGAAACAAAAAAATCAAAACAAAAAACAAAAACAAGACAACAACAAAATATCACACACAATTACACCCATCGCACTCACACACTCACTTTTGCCCTTGCACCCCCCCCCCCCAATCCCACACACACACACACACACACACACACACACACACACACACACACACACACGCACACACACACACGCACTACGCACACGCACGCGCACACTTCTCCTCCTCTTTTTCCTCCTCTTCCTCCCTCCCCACGATACCCCTACCTCTTTGAGCAAATCCGGTGGCTTGAGGTGGACAAAACATTTTGATGGTAAGTAACTCACGGAGTGAGAGCATCATTTCCGTATCATGATGATGTAACTCCATTGTTCAAGAGCTTGACTGAAGTGCAGAAGGGTGGAATTCAAAATGCCCTTCAATGTGATGCGCAGTATATGCCTTTCTGTGTGTAAATCTGATTTCGACTAATCATAAAGATTTACCCAATAACATAACTGATCCAGTTGTGTATTAAAAAAAGACGCATTTATATTATTCATGTCATATCGCCATTGGTGGTGTTTTCTCTCTTTCTCTATTTCCAGAGCTGCTGGACTTTTATTCTCATTTATTATCTTGTTAGTGTTTTCATTCGCAGGACACTAACTGATCGAGATTGTGCTTTTATAAAAGAAAAAGAGAAAACACTAGCAAAACTGGAACTCTTGAACTCAAGTTCAAAGACAATATTTCGGTAAGTTTCATTTTGGCAAAAAAAATAAATTTTATAAAGGCAAGTGCTACAGCGCCCAATAAAAATTGTAGGTCATTTAGGAAGCATGGCCTTGGAATTCAACATGCGTTTTCTAATTGTTCACTTAAATAAAGAACCCCCCCCCCCCAATCAAAACATTAGTTTGATTATGTCCGGAGAGAAAGCAAGATAGACAGTCAGAATAACAGAGGGAAAGGGGAGATGTATCATATAAATATAAGACCTACCGGAAAGGAGAGTCCATATATGAATCTTACAATGCCGAGAGTTTGAAAAAAGTATTTACACACCGAAAGGGACACAAAGAGAGTGCGGTTAAACCATTCAACGTCACCTTCAAACCATAAACTTCTCTTGTGAAACAAAATATTCTGTTACATAAATGTAAGAAGATCTAAGCGCAGGCCAAGATATTAAACAGGTCCTGAAGGCCGGACCATCCCTATACGTAAAGCAACTCGCATGTCTTCACGTTACATTTTCCATACTGTTAATTCATGAGATAACCTCCATGTAAGAAAAAAAAGCGTCAAACAAACAAACAAAAACAATTAAAAACAAATCCTACCATAAAACAAAGTAAAATAAATACCCCCTCCCCCCCCTTTCCACTCATTCCCCAAACAAAACAACACAAACGAAGTGACTCACTTATGGTAGCAGCTGAGTTTCGTTTTCCGATGTTGAAGTATTGTACGAGCCAACTCTCCTCGCTGTAAGAGGCTGAAAGTTTCGGGGCACGCACAGCAACGCTGATGTACAGTAGAGAGTATCAACCACCAGCTGGCGAGGAGTGAGTGGTGGTGGTGAGCTTGATGGTTTACTGTGAGCGGCCCCACACGCGCGCGCGGCCGCTTAAATATCCACGGTGGCGGATGTAAAAGTCTAAGCGAGCTTTAGTCACAAACGGGAATTTGTAAGATTTCTTTTCCGCTTAACGTAAAAACAAGGCGAACTCTTGGAATTCTATGAATGAGAAATACAAAGAAAAGTGTCTGATTCATTTATCAGACATGATGAAATGGGATGAGGACATAATGTGGAAGCCATATATAATACAGATTACACACACACACACACACACACACACACACACACACACACACACACACACACACACACACACACACACACGCACACAAACACACACATACTCACACATACACTCACAAACATACACACACCCACATGCACACATACACACACATTTTACACATACAGAGAGGTAGACAAATATGTTGGTATTAAAATATACATCTTACATAATTATTATTCAAAACTGGGATGGGTCACAGAGTCCAACAAGCACAACGACTTCATAAATATTTGGCCCCCCGATTATTACTTCATCGATCAACCAATCAACTGATTAGACAAATACACAAACACACACACACATACACACACACACACACACACACACACACACACACACACACGAACACACACACATACAAACACACACATAAACGCACACACAAATGCACACTCACATACACACATAAGCATACACACGCAAACGCAAATATTATGGACTAACGAACAAGAGTACAAAAATCGATCAATATAAAACTATAATATTTGAACCCAGGCCAAAAGCAAAGGACAAAGTCCGGTTCCGGTTGATAGCGATACGTTATTTCTAAAAAATATTTAAAAAATCAATCAATACAATTTTCTGAAATTAAGTAAAAAATTAAAGAAAATAAAAACCTTCTAAATATAAACAGCTTTCGAGGCATTATCTCTTTTGGCTACTTAAAAAAAATTAGATTTCTGAGTTATGTTATTTTACGGCCTCCCCAAAAATGCCTCATCTGAAAGGGACATAAAGATACTTGATTTATGTCTCAGTTTTGCGAAAAGTGCCAGACTTTGCTATATTGTTTTGTTAGAAAAAGTGACCTGGGCGTACCCGATTAAAATTTACTCACACATTATGTGCAGTGGAATGTGCACAGATCTGTATTATACTGGTAAATATATACATGTGTGCGTGTGTGTGTATGTCTGTGTTTGTATGTATGTGTGTATGTATGTGTGCATGTGTGTGTGTGTGTGTGTGTGTGTGTGTGTGTGTGTGTGTGTGTGTGTGTGTGTGTATGTGTGTGTGTAAACATTTGTATAAATTTATATTTCATAAAATACCAAAGAAAATTTGATGAATGAAGTTTGTTTCTTCGTAAATGTTTATATTTCCCTCAAATGAGACAGTTTTAGCCCATCTGTAAACTTAAAACTACTTTGACGTTGATACACAGGCTTTTCCAACCAAAAATTAAGTTTATACCTTTTTTGCGTAAGTGGACTGCACAAAAAATGCCTTGCTAAAATAGAGTTGGGAATTCCAAATCTTGACAAGATTCGATCTCATCAGCTAGAGAAAGAAGAGAAGGAATACCTGATACAGAAATGAAAGAAACCAATTTTTATCGATCAAAGTGTCATCTTTGGGCCATATCAAGGAAACCATACAGTTTGTTTATATATTTTTTTCAATTTCCCCTCTTTACCATCTACGGGAGATTCTTGTAAAGGAATCTCTTAGACACATACAACCCTTTTAATGGTATCTAAACAATCAGCAAATTTTAGAGCAGTGTTTAATCTCTGATGGTACCAAAGGGCCCCCTCCACGTTGATGACTTAATGTGTAGGTAGAATCTGGAGGATAAAAATGTTTGTAATTGATTCGCTATTGGTTGTGCTTTTCGGGTCAGCTTGGAATCAGTTACGCATCAAATTTTGGAGGAGGAAGAATGGGATGAAGAAGACGGGATATTTTGGTGATGCTACACAAAACATAATTTTTCAAGCCATGTTTGTAATTCGACCACATTCTCAAAACTATCTTCCTCACCCCAACCTCTTTCACCGCAAATAGCATGATGGCATTATACCTCTGGAATTCTGAAATTTCCGATGGAAAAAATGTCCCTCTGGTTAAAGATTCCTGTTCTACAGTGGAAGATGCACTGCTTCCTCCCTAACAGCTCAGCACATGTAGTCTAACATGTCTGTCTGGGGGCGTTGAGTTCACACAGTGCGTATTTAACAGAATGCACCATAATTAGCCTTCTACCACAGTACGGATTTAAAACAAACACACACACTCACACACCCACTCATACAAACACACACACACACACACACACACACATACATACACACACACACACACACACACACACACACACA